TTTAAAATGAGGCGGTGAGGAGATATTTTTTTTGATACTGAACTAAAATGGGGGAAATTGAGACAAGCACATTTGGAATGCTTTAGAAGGAAAAAAACGTATGAGCGCATAGTCAAAATGATGTGCGCAGAAACAGAGATATTTTTTCACAGCCTATTAAAATAAAAATGATCGTCATTCATTAAATATATGTACACTGCTCAAGTTGTATAAAAATTACAATTATTTGCAGACTGCAACAAACTCAGTCAAGGGCCATACATTCACCAACTAAACAAAAAGTTTTTATGAGTGATCATAACTTCAACCAGCATTTCACTGGCTTCTCCTACCTGGAAATCCGCTTGTAGACTATTGAGACTATTATCACTACCAATGTAAATATCATCTATGGCCCATTGGTTATACCCAGCGCCAGAATGTGACGGTTGCCACCATCGGAATCTTGTTGATGGAGTCCTGGCTGCTGATGGCAATTCTTTGTGCACAAACCTAAATACAGAGAATTACAATATTTATCATCTCTTACAAACTGATTTGCATAGAACATATGTCGATTTGCATTATTAGAACTGCAACTCCAATAGAAGCACATATACCGGTATATGAAAAACACTATGTTTTATAGTGAATCGTTAAAGTATAAATTATTTTAATCATATAGAAACATGTAATAATTACCCATAATTTATGTAAACTACCACTAATAGAGCAAATATGCTATATTTTTATAAAAAATTAAATCTGTTCCAAGCTACCTTATAAAGTAATTATAATGATTTACGGAATTTGGAAAACAAGCGTGAATATAAAATCTTGGTACATTTTATAATATGGATGAAAATATAAATCAAATATTCACCTTGGTTCTGTGTAATCTTGATAGTATAATTCCATCAGTAAAGTCCATGTAATTCCACCATTATTAGAATATTGCAGTAAGACTCCTTCCTCTCTATTCCTGGAATCTACACAGTATACACCTCCACCTCCGATACGAATGTAAAACTGGACAAAACTGGCAACCTGCGTATTCATGTCTAGACTGACAAGTTGACGAATGCCATCCTATTGAATTCAGGAAGAGATGATAAATACATGCAAACGACTCAATATCCTGAGAAGAAGAGACTTTTTTAAAAATTAGGACAACAACCAGAACTCAAAATTCATGGAGGCCTTGAGTGGATGATCTACCTGACTGGTACCCTTTAAATATAATCCCTAAATTCAAATGAAAAAAAATTTGTTGATTTTTGAAAAATAAATCATGTATTAAAGTATGTCTAGACCAATACCATATTTTTATCATAGACACACCTCACAAATTTCTTCAATTTCAATCTATTAAAGCTTTTTTTTTAATTTTAGATTTGAAGTTAGCTATTCTGGGAACACTTAAATTCAAGTCCAATATTACCAGAAGAATGAATTTGAATACAATAAACAATAATTTTGAACTGATTACCGCCACTTATACTGATATTTAAGTCTTGACAGCAAAGATTAATTATAACAATTTAACGAACAAACAAACTATTACTTAATTATGCATTGTTCTCAATACTACAAACAAAACATTTTAAACATGTTGAATTTTATTAAAACGGAGACTTTAAAGAGAATATGCTTAATTTCTTACTTCTGAAAAATATAATGATAAACCAGAGGTGATGACTCCACATCCTTGGTTGCCATTGACAACATACCCACCATGAATGGCTAGCCAATCAGATTGCAGTAAGACATAATCTTCAAAATCTGATCTTAATGTGGATACCAGTGGATAGTCTGGGGTACAAGTATCACCACTATATCCTGGATCACATCTATGAAAAATGCACCATATGAAATAAGTAAAAGGAGTATCCAAGTTTGATAGGATAGTGTTTTCAATGTAGTAGTATCGGTATACAACTAGAACTGAAGATAATTCAGTAGTTTCTGAAATACATAATTTGGTTTATGATGAAATCAACAATACAAATTCGATAGTAAGACATTGATTTGCTGAAAACCAGCGAAATACACACTTGTTTTTATGCATGATTCATACTTTATTACAGGGACTTTGGTTGTTTTCGACTTTCTATAGATTTGAAGTTTACAGTTGAGTGAAAGGTGTCTTATCTGAGATTCACCATTTGAAGGTTTGTTTACCATTAAACTCCTACCAAACTGTTGGTGATTTCTTTACATGCTTATAAAACTTTTGATCAAGTGACTCCTTGTTACTTTATACCACTGCGCTTATTTCTGTAAACCCATTGTATTTATACTACTAATAAGTGTAAAACTGGCCACACATTCATATAAATGTAAACCCCTACAGATAACTGCATGTACATAACACTATTGAAACTTTATAGTCAAGGATCAATGTCTGGACTTTAACAAGAACAAGTTTTTCCTAAACTAAAAAGTTGACCAAGGAAGGGGCTTAAACCCACAACATCAACCATCAAAGACTGAACTATAGCAGCTAGATCCCGATGCAGGTTCTCGACAACCCATCTTGTAGTGTTTCTCAGACAAATTATTTGAGTAGTGTCAAAGTGTATTTATACATAGAGGAAAGATTCAAGTCTGATAAAAAGAATTCCTAAATAAAAGCAGTTAACATGTGCTCAAACCCCTAACCCTACACTAAAGTACAGTTGGCAGTATTAATCTAGAAATCCAACATGTATGTCTGCAGGAAATAATCTACAATGTATCTGGCATGCCTTTACCTGCAATCTCCATCATGGCATCTTCCATGTCCATGACAGTAATCTGGACATTGCTGACCGATATAGACATTATCAATAGCCCAACTGTCATTACCAGTGAAAGAAGACTGTAACCAACGGAAACGAACAGGAACTGAACTGAAATATTAACAAGGAATATTGCATATATAAGTTATAACACTATGATATACGAAACATGCATATAATTTGCATGCGTGTAGTCTTTTACTAGTGACAAATATTTTCACACTAGCTGGAACTATTTATTTTTATCGCTAGTATACATGTTATAAAATCAAATACAATGTTTTTAAATGTTGTTCATGGGAATGTTTATGATCAACAACTGTATCTTTACCATTTTTGCTCTATTAGAAGTGCAAATAATGCAGCATTTATTGTTTACTACTAACAAAAAAAGCAGCTCAATTAGAAGTATTTGAATACGGCTTTCTGTTTTACAAACAAAATAGCAATACTGATATTAAAGTTCAACATTTTGTAATGGTAATTTTTGGTTGCTTTTTTTTTTTTACACAGTAAACATATACAGTATCACAATTTACCTCATCAACTCATTCACTAAAACACTTTAAAAGTACACATGTTTTGCCATTTTAGTAATTGCAATTCAGTGGGAGATGAGATGCATTACTTCACAAAATGTGAGCATCACACTATCAAAGAAAATAGACTGGAATTCCTTGCAGCTTTATTTATTTATTTACCAGAGATGAACAAACTTTCCAATGAGAAGTTATTTACTTTTGTGCTTTCTAGTTTCCCGCACATTAGAATTATTTTAGCTTTTTTTTTTTGTTATTTATGACTTTGAACTTTGCATAAGCTTTGTTTTGAGTATGTTCCAAATGAAATATCTTATCCTATCCTTTTGTTAATAGAGAAAAAGTGTAAAATCATCATCATTTAAATCCCGGCATTGCCAAATAGATTGACTTGTATGCATATATGAAATGTTATTACATGGTTTGTATATCTTATATTTTAGCATACTGTAATCATTTATAAAATATTTATATCACAGAAGTTCAATGTAATGTACTATTATGTAATATGGTGTAATGTAAAATGATGTAACACAATGTAATGTACTGTGATATAATGTAACATGATGTAATGTAATGTAACATGATGTAACACAATGTAATGTAATGTGATATAATGTAACATAATGTAATGTAACATGATGTAATACAATGTAATGTTCTGTGATATAATGTAACATGATGTAATGTAATGTAACATGATGTAATACAATGTAACACAATGTAATGTACTGTGATATAATGTAATATAATGTAAAGCAATATAAAGTGATGTAATGTAACATGATGTAGTACAATGTAATACAATGTAATGTACTGTGATATAATGAAACATGATGTAATGCAACGTGATGTAATGTAATGTAATATAATGTAAAGCAATAAAAAGTGATGTAATGTAATATAATATGATGTATTGTAACATAATATACTGCAACATAATATAACAAAAAGTAACATGGTGTAATGTAAAGTAATGTAATGGCCCATAATTATGAACAATTGGTATCCATCCACAAGACTCTACAAATACAGGAAACCAAGAGAATCATCTCATGCTACAATATTTACCTAACACCAGACTTCAAAGGTACAGAGATTCTAGTCCATAATTTGTACTCTGTGTCGTCATATACACTACTTGGTTTGTACTCATCACATCCTGATGCCGGTGGCAGACAACTATCAACAACTGGTTGCCATGTCAACCCATGTGTGGTAGAGTAATCAAAGTATACTCGGTTATCTGAAGGAAATTAAAATCAAACAATTTATTGAGGAGAACATTTTTAAAATCTTTATACTGTCATTACATATTATTATAATAGCATTTCAAGTTTTAAAATCCCGCTAGTGACATTGGTCTTCCCATTGAGTGTGTGCATGTTATATTCTGCACCTGGCAATACAGCATCACTGCACGAGAACAGTGATTAGATTAAACCAATAGTTGTCATGTATAATAAACAGTTAAGACCAATGAGTACGCCCTTGAAATTCTGCTGTCCCGTGGTGTTACAAAAACATTCTTGAAAATAACGCCAAAATACACCACGTAGTTATTTCTTGGTATTAGGTTGGAACTTAATAAAGAATCTACCTAAGTATGGGTGATAGTATTTAGCAGAAGAAAATAAAATAATTTCGTACAGTGCTTAGATATTTATTAAAGTCAAAGTATTGTATTGATATGATAAAAAATGGCCAAAATGCTGCTACAAGGATTTATGCAGGAGAAAAAAAAAAAAATCACACACCAGCATTTTCAATGCAACAATTTTTTATGTACATCTCCCCAGAGAGATCAGCGCTAGGGTCATTAAAGTTACATAAAGATACCAAAATATACAATCAAAGGCACATGATAAAAGAACATAGCGTAACTTCTAAAACCTTGTCTATTGAGAATCTAGATTACCCGAAATAACCAATGAATGGCTGGACACAAACTAAAGGCCATGACAACATTTCATACACAGATCAACAATCTGCAACTTTTGTTGGTAACAAATGTTGATATGTGTATCATATATGTTTCAATTTGTTGCAATAATTTTGAATCTGATCTAAAAAACAAAATGACAAGCATCCTACTGTCAAATGTGTGTACCAAATACCTCCATACACAACCAAGATCTGGTTCCAGAATTGCAGATAAGCTTGATTTTGATGAATTTTTAGCACAAAAATGGCTGCCATTCAGTCATCTGGAATCGGGTCATGAAACCAGTGAATTTGTGTACCATATATATACAAGTATCCCAAGATGCATCATGTATGTATAAATGATGCATGTGAAATAGACAAATTGCCATGTATCCTAACACGAACATGTATAATGTATGTACCAAATTTGAACTTTGTTTGAATGGGAACTAAAAAATGTATTCTGCTTGACTTGTCAAATATCATAATTTTTTTTTATTGTGTACTGTGAGTTTTAACTGTTTGTTTGTAAAAACACTACAACACACCAGATTAAAGGTAAACAATTTATTAAAACTAGTCAGCTATAAAGAAATAAAATACATGCGTTAACATTACTAATGGAAAGATTACACAATAAAAATACACACTAAAAAATTGGGCAAGGGGTCACCTTTCAAAACTACCACTGGTGAGCATTGGGCAAAGGTGTTCATAAATTGCCATGCCATACAAAGGAAAAGCCAGAAAGTGGGCGTTCGTCCTTGTAATGGGGGACAGGATGAAGTCCTTTGCCCAGCGAGGGAGCATGAAGTAAAAAGTTACGAGTGGGACTGGTTTGTTAAAGAATTTTGAGAAACTGTTTATTTTAACTGCTTTTGCTTCAAAGAGAAAAAGGTTCTCTGCGTACATGTAACAATTAACTGATCTAATTGTTCAAAGACGAATATACTATACTAGTACTCTTCAAATCTGTGTACCCTAAAATTTAATGGAATCATCCAAAAGTGTTCGATAAGCACTGTGAACTTAGAACTGTCTAGAATCTATAGTCAATTGGGTAATGCTATGTGTTATGTCATTTGCTGAGAAGTCTTCAGGAAAAACGCAACTTAAGGACATCCACATTTTCAACGAGTACAATAAAGGTAAGTTGACGATAAATAAGGTATAGGGATCTAATGATGACCAAAGTCTAAGTTATCACAGTAATTGATAGTCATGTAACAATGAAAATAGGTTGCTGACGTGGCTATGCATGATACAGTCAGGTTAAAATCGGATGTAGCTGTATTGGCTCCAATATATAATAATAATCTTCATTATAACCATTAAAATATTAGAATTTTTTGGTTTGTTAGGAAAGTCTATATTTTTTTTTAAAACTCATATTGTATGAAAAACTGAATAGTACGTTGACCTGTTTTAGTCAGAAGTGATCTCATCATACATTTTTAAACTCACTAAACAATTCTATCTCCCCATGTGTATGTGATATGGGACCAGATTATTTTGTCAGCAGAAACTTATTTGAAAGCCCATAATTTTGAGTAACAAATCTGAAAGTTTATAGTGTTATTTCAAAGTTGTTATGCAGAGTTCAGGGTTCATGCTACACTAAAGTTTTGTGTGTGAAACCATCAAACTTAGTAGATGGTGTTTGAAATGTTAAGTATCGGTACTGATTATACAAGTTAATATTGCAAAATTCAACATTAAAATGAAAAAAATACCACAAATAATATATATACTCATAAAAGATTAAAAGGTATATGCAATGTATAGTTTCACACCAAACCCGACTCGACCCGATCCGACGCGACCAAACCCAACCCAACCCAACCCAACCCAACTTAACCTAACCTAACCTAACCTAACCTAACCTAGCCTAACCTAGCCTAGCCTAGCCTAGCCTAGCCTAGCCTAGCCTAGCCTAGCCTAGCCTAACCTAGCCTAACTAACTCCCTTTTTTACATTCATTAATTTTTTTGTCTTCACAGATCCAATCAAACTGCTGGAAGAAGTATGGCTTCCAATAGGCGTCATATCGCAATACTAACCAACCCGAGGTCTTTGTCAACTGCGCTGGAATTCAGCTTTAAAAGCAGGGATGACACAACAATAATCCATGAGCCATATGGTACTGCATATGCTTTTGGCTCTGAAAGAGTTCTGGATATTGTTCCAGATTCACCCATAACACCTGGATATACATATGAGGAAGTTAAACAAAGGCTTGAGGTCAAAGAACAAGAAGCACCCATAACAGTATGGAAGGAAACATCAGTGACATTCCCTTTGGATCTCGAGTTTTATCCTAAACATTATACACCTATTTTTCTCATTCGAGACCCTCGGTACAGCATTACAAGCTATAGGAAAATATATCTCAGTTGTACAGATGGAGCACGTGAGGACATTTCGCATGGTGGTGGTTTTATTCAACTAGGTAAGCTATATGATTGGATGACAAAAGAGGTTTGTCCTGACCCCGTTGTTATCGATGCTCATGAACTCTCACGTCATCCCAAGGAAATTCTGACAGCTGTCTGTGAGAAGATTGGCATTGAGTTTAAGGATTCAATGTTGCACTGGAAACAGAACAACAACGATCACTGGGACCCTGTTTGGAATTGTTGGATAATGAAGGCATTCACAGATGTGATGCAGAGTCAGGGCTTCATTCCAAAAGAAGAACAAGAAGAAACAGAGTTCCCAGAATCGATACGAGATAGCATAATGGTGGCTATTCCAATATATGAGTCACTCTACGCCAAACGCATACAAGCTGTAATTCAGTAGATTGACATGCTATATAGTGTGTATATACCCGGTAATACTGAGGTAGTTACTGTTATCGAAAAATATTTCTACCACAAAAGATATCAAATCAGCCATTTTGAATCTGATCTGAAAAATAAAATGATGTGCATCAGGAACCCATAATGTCTAATGTATGTAAAAGTTTGAACATAATCAATCCATAAATGCCACACATTTTTGATGATTTTTTAGCACAAAAATGGCCACCATTAGGCCATTTTGAATCAGATAGTCAAACCAATATACCTGTATATCTATGTCATAATGTATAATGAATATATAAAATTTGAACATAATCAGTCAAAGCATGGCAGAGATATGGCACTAGAACTGCATTCATTAAAACAAAATGGTCACCAGTCAGCCATTTTAAATCCGATCTGAAAAATAATATGACGTGCATCAGAAACCTATAATGTCTAATGTATGTACCAAGTTTGAACAAAATCATCCATAAATGCCAGTAATGCTTGATATTTGATGATTATTAGCACAAAAATGGCCACCATTTGGCCACTTTGAAACAGAATTTGAAACAAATTGATGTGCATATGTATAATATTATGTATGATGTACGTGTGAAGTTTGAATGTAATTGGTCCATGCATGTCTAAGATATAGGTCCAGACGCACACACGGACACACAGACCCACGGAAGCACAGAGGTCAATTCATAAGAAAGAAAATTAATGATATCTTCACAAAATAAAAAAATCTGATAGAAGTCCATCCAAGGTACCTGCATATAACAACATCTCAAAGCAATCAAACTGAAGCCGAAAATATAATTTTTGTTACAAACTAGCGACCTGATTTCATTAAAGATTACTATGACCAATGTGGTGTCTTGAGAGCTTTCATGTTGTCCTTTTAGCAGAGGCAATATTTATCCTAATAGTTTGTCATTTAGTCATGACACTAGGTACCATTTTGCTATCGATATATTTCTTCAATAGAATTTTGTTCTCAACCAAACAAATAACATACATAATATATATATATAT